CCGCTTGTGATGAATATGAATATCCCGATTCTCAACGCCAAGAAGACGTACATTAACATAACCATCAAATTCGAGATCAGTAATTATACCATTCATAACTCTATCACGAAGCAGAGAATACACGGCCAGCGAAGCGATAGGCCAAAACTGTCTCAAGGTTATCTGAGTAGTAGAATGAGCAGGTAGATATACTTCGGGTAAATACGCCCGCCCAAGTTCATGTCGGGCCATAAGTTGATTTAATGCCAATCGACCATGTACTTCCATGGACAAACTCGAGCCCATAATAGATAGACCGACGAAGGCATTGTTAGTGATGTCCAAATCCATCACGGCGTGCATACATAATTCGGCCCATTCATGAAGACTGCAATCGGTCTTGTTGGCGACCTCTAAACGCCTTACGAACCATTTGGTCTCATTGATGGCATTTCTAGTTATGCTTGGTGAGAATACAAAGATGAATGAATAAACAGATATGAGAAGTATGAGAATAACTGTACATATGATAATTGATTTACGGCTTTGATGATCAGTCGACTCAGCAGCAACACGTACTCGTTCGTAGACCTCTTGTGTTGATGCCTTGAAGGTCTCTGGTAAGGCCGATACGTCTGCCTTAACTTTCTCAATACCATCCAGAAGATTCAGGCTTTCCATCTCTACCATACTTTAAAATATACTAGAGACAAAACTCGGATGAAGGTTCTCATCATTTCCAAATCGTCTCTCAAGATTCCCTATGGAACATGACGCCAAGAATACTGTGTAGCTCTGTCTCAATATCCTTGCTGAGTGGTCACGAAATGAAAATGCGCACGCCATTCTGATCGATATGCTCTCGGAATCGGGCTGCTAATGTGGGAAAGACTATTCTTCGATTGTTGTCATGTGGATATAGACCGTCACCAGACGGCAGGGCGTTTGGTCAAGGGTTTCCTGGTGATGGGGAGGAGGATCCAGTCGGACCTATTTTGTATCTTTCTTGGGGAACCTCAAGATATCTCCCGCCTTAGTTTGACGACTGAGATTGTTCCAATGACCGCATCTGGTGAAAGCCGTCTCGAGAAGGCGAACAAGAAGTCCCCCTTCGTGCAGATAATGCAGTTGGCCATTCCCAACATGATCAGCTTCCTTGTTATGTACGATTGGGGGGATATTCGTGTGATTTGGGGGAGGAGTGGGATGGAACTTCCGGGAACAGGTACTCTATATTCGTTATCACTATCTTCTTTGTATCGGCCACTAATGATTCCAATATGCTTGGCGCCATTGGTCTCGGATCGGTCATCCAAAACGTGTTCGGATTCAGTATTGGAGTCGGTCTCATGTCGGTAAGTGGGTGAATGGTTAGCCTCCTCATCTTGCCACCAACCAACTCCGGTTCGAGTCCTGGTAGATGCATATCATACCATAATGGATGGTCGTAGGTCCTGGACACTCTAGTCAGCCAGGCAGTCGGTGCCGGCAACCCCCACCTCGGCCTCATCTACTTCAATCGTGCACGTATTGTCGGCACCATTGCCTTCGTTCCTTGCTTCATAGTCATGTAATACACCTATTCCTCCGTCACGCGCCACGAAATTACCTATCCCAGGTTCTACACTGAGCCCATCCTCCTCTGGATGAACCAGGACCCCCTCACGTCTAAGCTGGCCGCTGAGTAAAGCTTACGACTCACTCAATCCCATCATTCCTAGTATTATTCAGTTACGTACGCGGTATGAACTGGGGTCTCTGGCCATTCTTCATGTACAATGCTATGTGCAGTTTCTTGAGGTAATGCATAACTACGTGTATGTTCTATAATATTGGCGATCCCTCGACAGGTCCCATAGGCTACCAGAAGCCCCTCTATATGTCAACGCCATCACAGGCTGTGGCCATGCCCTTTTCTGTTGGCTCTTCTTATTCAAGTACTCCCCCTCATCCTCTACCTCCCTTGATTCATCAACAGGTCGGCTCAGGTTCCATTTCGGCGCCTATGGTGTTGGTATTGCCATGACCTGTACCCAGTGGGGTCGATTCATCCTCCTTGAGCTCTACGCTGCCGTATTGCATCCCGAGACCCATGCCCATGGTTGGACCCCCGAGAGTCTCCACAACTTGTGGGAGTTTGTGGCTCTCGC